ATCACCTTGGACTATGAAGCCCTGGGCAGGAAAATTCAGAGATTAGAGGGACAGGTGGTATTCTCACCAGTTCTACCAGTGAATGATAGAAAGATGCTTAGCTCTGCTGAACACAGGCTCTCCAACAAAGTCTTGATGTGCCTTGCAAATAATTTCATCTTTCAAAAGGTGGAGGAAGTAGCAAGGGGATCAGAAATCCTGGACTTGATCCTAATCAATAGGGAGGAGTTGGTCACTAGAATCAAAGCAATTGGTATTTTAGGAAGCAATGCTCATGTAATGCTACAATTCATGATTGTGGGACAGGCCAAAGAAGAGTATAGTTAAATGCAAACCATGTATTTTAAGAAAGGTGATTTTTATCATGCTCCGGGAAATACTGGGCAGAATTCTGCAGCTAGAGATACTAAAAGAAAAAGATACTCAGCATGGGTAGGATTTCATGAAGAAGGAACTGCTAAAAGCGCAATCACAAACAATTCTACAGAAGAATAAAAATGAAGGAAACCTGTAAAAGCCAATGTGGTTGCACAGTAAACTCAGGAAGGGAGTGAAAAGAAAAAAAACCCAGCATGTATAAAGAATGGAAGGAAGGATGAATCACCAAGGAAGAATGCAAATGTGTAGCCCAAGCTTGCAGAAACAAAGGCAAAATTCTACATTTAGGCCACAAAAATCAAATGAATAGGTATAGGATGGGGAATACTTGGATCAGCAGTACTACATGTGAGAAAGACCTTGAGGCTACTGTTGATAATAAGTTGAAAACAAGCCAACAGTGTGATGTTGCAGCAAAAAAGGCAAATGCTATCTTAGCCTGTATCAATAGACACACGGTTTCCAAACTGAGGGATGTAATAGTCTCAATATATTCTTTGCTGGTCATCTAGAGTACTACATTCCATTCTGGATGCCTCATTTTAAGAAGGACAGACCAGTTGGAGTAAGTTTAGAAAAAGGCATATGGAGTAGAAAACATATGAAAAGACACTGAAGGAGCTGGGCATGTTCCATTTGGGGAACAGAATACTGAGGGGTGTCAATGATCACATTTCTTAAATACTTCCAAGGGCTGCCAAAAGGAGAGGATGCATGTTTGTTCTCTGCTCCCTCAGAGGGTAGAACTAAGTAATAGAATCATAGAGTTGGAAGAGACCTCAAGGGCCATAAAGTGGAATCCATTCTGCCATGCAGGAATACACAATTAAAGCACCCCCTAGAGATGGCCATTTAAAAACGTCCAAAGAAGTAGATTCCACTGTTGAACTGCTCTTACTGTCAGGATGTTCTTCCTAATGTTGAGGTCTAATGGTTTTAAGTTACAAGAGACGATTTCTATTGAATGTCTTAACAGTGAGAAGGGTTCAGCAGTGGAACTATTTGTCTAGAGAGGTGGTGGGGTCTCCTTCTATGGCTATCTTCAAAAAGAGTCTGGACCTCTTAGGGATGCTCTAGCTGGGAATCCTTCATTGAACAGGGGGTAAGACCTGATGGCCCAGAGGACCCCTTCCGACTCCATGATTACATCAAAATGTCTCTAATCATGCCTTTGAAAAGTAACTTTTGAAAGTAACTAAACAATGTTGCTTACTGCACCAATAAAGTAACTTTGGTCTTACACATCCCCTTACTTTTGAAAGGTAACTCATTATACCTATACTCCAGTTGAAGAGGACCAGACAGACGTCAGGAGAACAATGTGAAATGGAACTGAGGCCAGCCTATCCTGTCGGAGCATTCCTGAGCTTCTAAGATACCAAGTGTTGCAAAGCAGTGATGTGGAAATCTCAACGTCTTTTGTGGAGTTTTTCCTTCCCATCTTTGTATCAGATTTTGAGATTTTATGTTTATGAACTTCTCGTTTCAAATTTAAACTACCCATAGTTCCCCATGATAACTAAACTTGGGGAACTGTGTTTGTTTCAATTATAGTCACACAGGAAGAGACAGAGTCATACCCTAGTGTCAGATCTTAGTTTGCCATCCAAAAATTGGTTAAGCAAACCACAGTTCAAGAGTGGACATCACAAGGAACTGTGGTTAGCTTAAAAACGAAGTTTGTCCTTGCAGACAAGGCAGGAGAGCGGAAGAAGAATGTGTTACCCTAAATTCAGAGACAGAGTCATGTTAGCCTGGAATGTCATCTTCCAACAGCTTTGAGACTGTGTGAAAAAAGTTGTAGCATAAGCTTTTATAGACTTCATCTACTTCTGTGCATTTGAGGAAGCAGCACAAGTCTATGTAAGTTCATGCTACAACTTCTTTCTCACAGTTCGTCTCACAGCTGCAGCAAGATCCCTTTGCGTAGTGAGGCAGCTTTTTTCTCTTCTCAAGAACCATTTTTTTCTTTTATACCTGAACTGACTCTGAAAGTATCTTTAGACTTGCAACTGTTGGATGGGCCTGAAGTTGCCAAGAATGCTGTGCAAAGTAGTTGTACAGCTATGTTGAAAGGCATCAAATTCAATTGTCATCTACACAGGTGAAGTTCAGCCTACATATAAATGCAGCCTCTACCTTGCCTTTTGAAAGCTTTGTAACAATACTGAAAAGAGTTACCTGCAATCTTCAAAAGTGTGGCTGTGCTTTCATTCTCTGTCAACTTCACAAATCCAACTTGATTTCTAAAGTGATCAGTTCCTTGAAAAGATAAATCCAAAGGCTTTCCTTGTAGCAATTCTTCAATGGAACCTTTACTCTTCAAGAAAGCACCAATTGCACTATCAAGAAGAAAAAGATACAGTTCAGAACTGATGGAAAATCTTAACTTTAGATAACTACTATTCATCTCCTAAAGTAATGCCCCATCTCCTTCTGTACTAATATTTTCATCTTCCATTTTTTAAAGCATAAGAATGAGTTAAAGCATTGTTCTCTATATATAGTTGTATAAAATCTGAGTTCTCAACTTTCTTCCTCATCCAGTAGTGGCCTTTTCTTCTGCAAAAGGAAAAATCTATTTGTAGATTACTGATGGCTCAGTGAACACAGGAGCAAGCAGCAAATTATACATAAACATACTGGATCTAGAATCTGCCTTTAGCTGGACTGACAAGAAACATGTCTTACTCTGCGCAATTTGAACCTCATTCTGCGCAAAATTCTCACATGGTTGCAAAGAAAACAGCACCTTCTTCATGAAAAATAATATTTCAACGTGGAACTATTAATTCCTGCACAGAAAATGTTGTTTTCTATACAGAGAAAAAGCTGTAATTGGGGTTTTGTTTTGTATAAAATTTATACATAGTTGCTTTGCATAGAAAACAGCATTTTTCTCCACAGAAATTAATATTTTTGCACTGAATTATTATTTTCCACACAGAAAATATTTTCTGTGCAAAACAGCATGCAAATTTTACATGGTGTAAGTCCTGAATAGTGAAAACCCTTCGAGAACTGCATGGTTTTCAGAGACCTCCTTACAGTGGAAAGAAAATTACTGAAATTACTTGAGAAGAAACTTGGGTCCAAAAAACACTGCAGAAATAATCCAATTTGAGGCCGCTTTAACTACCCTGGCTCAATTCTAGGAAATCCTGGGAACTGAAGTTTTGTGAAACATTTAGCCGCCTCTCGCAGAGAGCTCTGTGCCATAACAAACTACAGTTACCAGGATTCCTTAGTACTGATCCAGGGCAGTTAAAGCAGTCTCAAACTGGATTATTTCTGAAGTGTGCTTTGGACCTTGGTGAAGAATTACATCCCACTTTTCAACAGCATCCTCCAACCTCCTGAGTATCATTTAAGGATACAGGGCAGACTGCTGTGGAGAAGAGAGGCAGAGAATTTCTCTTCTGCCAGACCAGTTCCAGATGTCTGACCTTGAAGGGAAGTCTCAATAAAAACAAACCAATAGAGTGTATAAGTGGGATTTATTGTCTACTAAACATGATTAGGACTGCATCCTTAAACTTTGGTTGTTTCCTGCCCACAGGACTAAGAACAGTTGTTTTTTCCTAGCCTAATTTTAAAGTTATTTTTGAGATATTTATTAATAATCACTAGATGGCACTAGCCAGCTGGTGAGCAGGAATCCTGAAATATCCAAAGAAAATCCACTCAATAAACCTGTTTAGTAGAAAAGTATAATGTCATGTTCATTTTTATTCTCATTAGTCCATAACTTATTTACATTACCTCATGGTCCTTTAAAAAAACTTAATTTTGTTTGTTAGAATTCATCAGAGATAAACAAATCAATCCCCATCACCCAATCCCTCAAAAATTAACAATATAATTACAGTTCTGGGCTATATTAGAATCCTGAAGTGAAAAAATCATGGAAAATATAATAGTAAAAAACAAAAGGGAGGGTTATGTGCATAGAGAAGACATATCAATTTAACCTTAGGCCTTCATAAGCAAAGAAATAGCAAGCTAAGCCCTTATTTCCTTTCATGGATAACACTACAATCTTAACAATGGGCTGTGACCTGGTATAGTAAAAGGGATCAAGAGTCCAACAGCACATTTAAAAGGCAAGCATTTTGACAACCACTTCCTTTCAATTTCAACTTTTAAAGCACTTTCAGGTTTGCACATTGTCTTGTCTGCTGAGGACTGTTAAAGAGTTTGCTACAAAAACACTGAGCATTACAATAGATTCTGGGCATATGCTACGATGCACACTTGATTCACATAAGACAACATTCAAACTTTAGGAGCCTTAAATTCATCCCAGACATACAGATCAATATCAGACATACAGATAAAACAAATCAAATCAATGTGTTTTGTGTGGCTGAGATTCCTCATTTCCTGCAAAACACAAGCAAACAGAAAAGCCTAACATAATTTCAGTAGCCTAATAAAGGTACCTATTTAAACCTCAAATTCTGGACAATGAGGTGGAATCTGCAATACTGGGAAAAATAAATCACCAGGAGCAGATGATATTCCAATAGAATTGCTACAATCCACATAGACGGAATCAACTCTGTTGTTGGTGGTGTTGGTGTGTGCCTTCAAGTTGTTTCCAACTTAAAGTGAACTTGAGAGGCAGCATGGTGTAGTGGTTTGAGCATTAGACTGACTCTGGAAACCAGGGTTCAATTCCTTGTTCAGCCATGAAACCCACTGGATCACCTTGAGCAAATGACGTGCTCTCAGCTTCAAGGGATGGTAATGGCAAATCCCCTCTGAACAAATCTTGTCAAAAAAAACCCTATGAGAAGGTTGCCATAAGTTGGAAATTACTTGAAAGCACACAACAACAAACAAGGTGAACTTATCATAGCATTTTCTTGGCAAGATTTGTTCAGAAGAGTTTTGTCACTGCCTCTCATTTCATGCCCTGAATATATGCCATGCTTCTCTATTTGTTTCTTGGATTATGCAGTAAAGAATGCTTTATGTGAGTAACAATTCAAAGGTTTCTAGCACTTTTGCTTTGTTAA